ATCTGACATAGGCTTTACATTTACATGCCCATTAAACATATTTTCACATTAGTGAAGGAGAAGGGCATAGTCATTCCTTGACTGGAGCTTAGCCTGAATTTTAGCCTTGTTCAATACTTGTTCCATTTCCGTGTCTGGGATATGTGAAAAATCATGAGAATGTGATATAAGGGATAGAGCCTTGGTCTGGGAGTCATGAGGTTGGGCTCTACCAGATGAGCATGTGACCTTGGACTAATTTTCACTTATTGAGAATTCAGAGTTTTCTCATCTGCATAAGAAGTGATTATACTAGATTACCTCCACTTTCCCCTTCATTTCTAAAATTCTGTGAATATAATTTCTGCCCATTATCTTCCAGAGTTACTATAGTGCTTAGTAAAAATGTTTGTTTTTGAAATGTCCCATTAACTCTCACATGAAAAGTTTTAGCTAAGTGTTTGAATGTCAATTTCATTTAAATAATAATTGATATTATTTTCTATATCACTGTTTTATTAGGTTAGAGGATAATTATAGGCTGTTACCATTGTTTTTCTTCTGACAAGACACAACTGAGTATCATTATTTTGGGAGGATGCAAAGGAATATTTGACCTTGCTAAAGGATAAAGGAGAGAGAGGTATTTTGACTTTTTTTTTTAAATCGTGAGCCTCATCAGATAACATAATGGGATAATTCCTAAATAAGATCCAATGCATTAATAATGTGCACTCATCTCACATACCCATTTATACCTTTGTAGTAGCATTTTAACTCAGGATTCTATATTTCTCAGAGGCTCTTGACTTCCCACATCCAAGAAAAGATGAAAGAGTCATTAATAACAATGAGCTCAAGTTCACCACTGAGAAACAAAGTGATGTTTATTGGAAAAGAGCTTTGTGCAACTCAGAAGTCCATTTCAAACAAAATAAATGTAGCTGAAATAAGAAGCTGACAATTGATTTAAAAAACTGCCTCATTTTATTTTTTATTTATTACAGATTTTCATTGGTGCTTCCAACGAGTGAATTCCTAATAAAGAAACTTCTTCAACCAATGTCACTGGCTGGTTTGCAAGTTATAATCTAAAGACGATTGCATCAAGAACTTGGATAAAAGTTTGATGTTCAAGATATATAGAGAATTGCCACAAAATATATAAGAACAAGAGCCATTCTCCAGGAGACAAATGACAGGAACAATTTTCATTTTTAGATAGATTTTTTGGCTATCTTTTATTTTTACATCGCCTACATTTCCTCTTATTTCTCTTCTCACTCCCAGAAAGCCATCTCTTATAATAATTCTTTAAAAAATAGATAATTTTAAGAGAAAAAATATAATCTCTCAACATATTTTTACACCTGCTCCAAATCATTAGTTACAAGAAAAATGAAAATTCCAGCTGAAGTTTTACCCCATACCCATCAAACAGACAGAGAAAATATTTGAACACCCAGTGTTGGAGAGATTCTGGAAATACCAGCACATTCACGTCCTGTTGGTGGGACTGAATGTATCTAACCCTTCTAGAAAATCATTAGAAATTATGTTTAAAAAAAAGTCATTAAAATCTTCATATTTTTTGACCCAGTTATCCCACTACAGGTGTGTCAAGGAGATCAAAAGCACAAATAAAGATATACATATATGTATACGTATATAATATGTATGTGTGTGTGTGTGTACACACACACACACACACACACACACGCCAGCATTTTGTGGTAGCAAAAAAACCCCTGGAAACAAAATGAGTCGATTGGGGAACGAAGGAATAAAATATGGCATGTGTGGATGAAATGGAATATTATTCTGTAAGAAATGAAAAATGTGAGCAATTCAGAGAAATGTGGGAAGACGTGTTTGACCTGATGCAAAGAGCCAGAAGAAAAACAGACACAATTACAATTACGTAAATGAACACAACATTAACAGGAAGCTGAACAGAGATTAATTGCAGTGACTCATCTTGGTACCAGAGAGCAGATGATGACACACCTTTTCCTCTTCTTGGTAGAGTGGTAGAGGGTTACAGGTACAAAATGTTGTATGGGCTATCAAATAGGGCTGCTTTATTAGTCACTTTTTCTTTGTTACAAGGATGGATTCAATGGGAAATAACTGTGAGATTAAAAAAAGTAAAAGCATAAATAATAGTAGTTCATTTCCATTCATTATTTTTATCTAGTAATATATTCAAACCTCCTCAGCTCTACTGTATTTCTTTTGAACCATTAGTAATTTTTTCCTTGCTGTGTCTTCAGTAAAGGTAGTTGGGCCATTTTTCTAGCCATTTTTGAAGGTTACTTCTAAGGCACTTTCCAAAAGGGACTTGATAACTTCCCAGTGTTTTTCCTAGGAAACAGAGAAGGCTTGTAGCTTACTGTTTTTGCAAGACCCTAGCTCAGATACTGGCATTATTAGAATGCCTTAAAGCATGTCATTTTGGCAGTGTCTATACTGTCTGATTTCCCCCATCAATAGTAGGATGATGATAAATTCGTCAACTTCATTGTACAGTGTGATGAGAATGATTTTTTTTAAGTTAGTGCTTTGAATTATTTTGAAAAATGACCCTTCAGAAGCACAAATGTTTTGAGCCTGTTTCCCCTACCATAGTGATGGTAAAAGTAGCCTCTTAAAAATCAATAGGAGGGGACATTTTCTGTCTGTGGGTTTACGATGAGGGTAGAAAAGCAGTCTTCCTACATACATGAAGTTCTGTGTGTGGTCACAGACCATGTGGTCTGTGGTTATGCATTATTTCAACGACAAAGCTGAAAATGGGAGTGTGATGGGGACAGGTCAGAAGGAAGCCAGCATTTTGTACCATAGTATGGTGGTTAGAGTGATGGAATTACAGTCAGAAAGATCTAATTTTGAATCCCACTAATGACATTTACTAGTTGTGTGGCCTTGAACAAGTCTCTTAAACTCTCTGATCTTCAGTTTCTCCATCTGTAAAATGGGCTAAATAATACCTGTAGTATCTATCACAGATCAGAGTTCTGTCTCAAAGGGTTAGGAGGATCACATGAGATCATAAGATGAGAAAAGTGAAGCATTTTGCAAACATGAATGTACCATATAAATTTCAGTTGTCATTATCTTTATTATTTTTAGCCTACATTATAGCTGCTGCTATAGAGCTTTATTTATTGTTTGTTTGTTCTGAACTTCACAGATATCAAGAAAAAAAATCAAACATTTCCTTACACCAAACAGAACAGAAAAAGAGTTATATGGGAAACTGAATTTCTCTTACGTACAGCTTCCTTTTTTAAAGTATACAATTTGACATTACTTTCAAAGCTGAGCCCTTGTCTCTGTTTCCTTCTGAACTTCTGTTCTCTTCTGCACGTTTTTACGTGCTTCAATGACTCTCATTTCTTTGGTTTCCTTTTCTTCTGTCAACACGATCTCAAGCTTTCCACTATCTCTTATGTAGAGTGGGGAAAAAAAAAAACAACAAAAGTCTATTGTTGTAACAAAGTTTAGCCAAGTGAAATAAATATATAGATATCTCATGTCCCAAAAGGTATGTCTCATTCTCCACCCTGAGTGCTCAGTAAGGCGGTGGGCAGTATGCTTCACCATTGGTCCTCTGCAATTAGGTTGTTTATTACGTTGATCAAGATTGTTTAATCTTTCGATGCTGTTTTTCTTTATAATGTTGCCGTCTCTGTATGTGTTTTTCTTGTGGTTCTGCTCACTTCACTTTGCTTCATTCATTTCATACAAGTGTTCCAGATTACTCTGAAATTACCTGGTTTTGTCATTTCTTACAGAACAGTAATGTTCCATTACATTTATACAATATGATTTGTTCAGTCAATTCACATGTGCTGGGTACCCCCTTAGTTTCCAGTTCTTTGCCACCAAGATAAGAAACTACATTTCCTCTTTCTCTGATCTCTTTGGGGTCTAGGCCTAGTAGTGGTTTCAGTGGGTCAAAGGGTATGCTCAATTTGGTGACTTTTTGTATGTGCATAATTCTGAAATGCTTTTCAGAATGAAAAAACATTCTGGTTTTCAAAATGAGTGGGCCAATTTATAGCTCCATCCATCCTGTTCCCCTGAAGCCTTTCCACAAATATTTTCGTTTTTTAAAAAAATCATTTTTGCCAATCTACAAAGTACAAGGGGGAACTTCAGAGCAGACCCTTATTTCTTCATTCTAAAGAAGAAAAAGGAAAAGAAAGAAGGAGGAGGAAGAGAAGGAGAAGAAGAGAGAAGGAAGGAAGAGGAGGAAGAAGAAGAAAAAGAAAAGAAAGGAAAGAAAAAGAAAGAGAAAGAAAGGAAAAAGAAAGAAAAAGGAAGGAAGGAAGACAGAAAGAAAAAGAAAGGAAGATAGAAGGAAAGAAAAAGGAAGACTCCCTTATAAAGCAACTAAATGCACTGCTGGAATTTGTGAAGAAAGAAAACAGGAATTATTCTGTTTATTCCCAAGAAAGTGATACCTAGGAATTTTTGTACCCAGAGTTAGTACCCCCCCCCAAAAAAGGCCTCACCTAAGAGAGTAAGACCAAGGATGGCAGAACTCACTGGAGTCACTTGAGGGAGGAAGATCTCCCACCCAGGAATGCCAGTTTGAGGTTGCAGCTGCGGAGACCTATATAAATGGCCATGGGGAGGAGGGACAGGACAAGGTGAGGGAAACAGCTCTCTAACTATAGCGTACTGTTGTTTCTACTATGCCAGAAGACTGCAAATGCTGTCAGCGCTCTCTAAACTTGGCACCATTAGGAAAGCCCTTCTCTGATTCCCTGGAAGGCATATTACAAACATCTTCCTAAATGTGAACCAGAGGACAGAGCCCATTATCATTTATATAATTCATGATAAGAAGTGAGCCAGAATGTCAACAGGGCCATAGTTTCTTTCAGTCAACTTTATTCACTGTGGTAATTTACTTCCTGGGTGATTTTCTTGAACCACAGGCTATGCTGCCAAAGAATGTTTAAATTTAATTTTGTCTACTTAATGAAAGGTGGAAAACAAAACCAATGCAGTCATCTCCATTTGTCACACATGTTGTCTATGCCCTCGACTTGCATACACATGTTTCCTTTGCTGGAACAATGACTATCCATCACTACTGGATTCACATATCCTCCTCCCAGGCTGTTTTTAAGACCACTGCATATGCTACAACCCATATACAGTTGTTGCCTCTCAAAGGGATCACCTCTGAGCTGGTTTCCCCTGGCTCTTATGACTTTACTGGTGAATGTATCCATTCTTTCCCTGGCAGTAGAATACAAGAAAAGTTCAATGTACCTCTGCTGCATGTAGGTTTTCTCCTTCACCATGGCGGCCACTGCATCCTCATGTGTCACAAAATCAACGTCGGCCTCTCCAGTTGCCTTTCCATCTTGCCCAATTTCAATGTATACTCTCAAGGGGCAGAGTGGTGAAAAGAAATGGTAAATATCATTCACTGTTGCTTTATAAGGCAATCCTCTCATGTGTACCCAGTGGTGGCAAGTTGCATTGTGAAAGATGAAATCTCCATATGTGTTATCAGGCATTCTCCTGGTACTGATGTTGAAATCAATGCCGTGATTATCATTGGATCTGTTCTTGCGATCATAGCTTCCATGTACCCTCTCATAGACTCTAGGTCTCATTGTCTTATCAGAACCTTCTCCCCTTATGGTTTTAAGCCTCAATCCAGGACCTTGCCTATCATAAGGGCCCAGTCTCTGCTTGACCATGAATGCCCGAAAGGGTCCCCAATGAGTGGGCATTTGCATTGAACCATCCTTGAGGTTTTCCACATAGCTAGGCTCTGGTCTTCCCTTGTGTTTCCTTATAGCTATTTCTGCTGCTTCCTGGGAAGCAAATTGCACCAAGGCAGTCCCTGTGCTCTTCCCCTGAAAGTCCACGGGAAGTATTATTCCACTGGGCACTGTTTCCAACCCTGAAAAGAAGTGCCTAATGCTTTCCTTATTACAACCAAAGGGGAGCCCTCGAATACAGAGAAGGCCACTATTAGCAATTAGGGAGCCATCGGGAGTGGCACGATTGAAAACTTGAATCATTTCAACATTATTCCAGGAAAATCCTTCATTGTACCCAGGTCCAATGCATTGACTCTGTTTCTTCATTTCCAGCTGAGGTTTATCATGTGATTTAAGATCTGCAAAGGCCTCACTTACTTAGTCTATATCCTTTTGGAGAGAAGTGAGTCTACACAAGTCTTCTTTGAACTTGGTCTTTGGAGAAGCTGCTTTCAATCCTGTTTGGATGGTCTCTGTATCTTCACCATGTTCCAGTTGCTGCTAAAATGGTCAGGAGCATTTAAACAAAAAGATTTGGGCTGGTGTGGTTAGACGATAAGAAAGTTCTCTTGATAATCTTCATTTACAAATACAGAGACCTACAAGATATCATTGGCATTTGTCATTGGAGTTTTGCTGTAGCAGAAGAATGAATTTTTATATCTTCATATTATTTTTAGATTTTTGTTTTATTCTGAATACTATTTTTTAAGGAAATGAAACACTACACCTTCTACTAACTCCTCAGTTTAAATGCCCAAACAAAACACAGGAAAGCCAAACCTTAGGTCTTGTTTCAATAAACCAAAAGCACTGTGTTTGGGTGCTATGGTTACAAGCAGGATAAGAAGAGTTAGGCTGGAATGATGTCACAAACATATTTTACTGGGTGGACTCATTTCACAACATCCTCCAGAGGAATAAAAGCAAAACATTAACTCCCTTGCTGCCTAACTATCAAGAAATTTGGTTGTTTGCCATGAGTGTTACATTTTATAACACATACTTTTCCCCTCCATCTCTTTCCAGGGCATGTGCCAGTTTGCTTAAGAGTTTCTTTTTTTTGTTTACTTTTTCTTTGTAGTATGATAAACATGGTTAACCATTGTATTGCTGGTATATGTACATCCCTGCTGAAATGCAGTAGAGAGGACCAAAGGAGAGTACCCATGATGGAAGAGGAAGGAAGGAAAGGACAGAAATAGAGATAGGGGGAAAGGGAGGGAGGAAGAAAGACAGAGAAGGAGGGAGGGAGATAATGAGACTTACTACTGTGGTATCTTTTTGTCATATAAGTTCTCTGGCTGGGGGCTCAGAACTGTAAGGAAAAAAAAATTGATTGATTTTAAAAAATAACTTCCAGGGCAGAGAGAGAAGACTTATACCAGGACTACTCAACATTTAGCACAGTGCCTGGCACATAGTAGATACTTTAAAAATGCATCGTTTGATGTATTGATAATTGACTGACCTCTGTAGGAAATGAATGAATCAGAAGTCTGATCAGAGTGAGTTGTGATTAGCTGGGGTAGTATTAGAGGTGGGATCTTCAGCATTTTTCTTCCCATTTTTTCCCTATGTCAGGCTTGAGAGGAAAATGACTCCTTGGGATAAACTGAAGGAATAGTTAGAAAGTCATGCACAAGGGAAGAAGCTAAAGGAGTGGCCGGCTAGGGAGGCATGTTGTTCAGTCATTTCAGACTCTTTGTGACCCTTTGTTGGGATTTTCTTGGCGACGATACTGGAGTAGTTTGCCATTTCCTTCTCCAGCTCATTTTACAGATGAGGAAACTGAAGCAAATGGGGTTAAGTGACTTGCCCAGGATCACACAGTTAGTATCTGAGGCTGAATTTGAACTCAAGCCTTCCTGACTCCCTGCCCAGCCACTGTACCATCTAACTGATCCACCCTAAGAGGAAGTGACAGACAGCTTTAACAGTGCAGCTCTCAAGCACAGTGGTACATTCCACGCCAGTGTAGCGGTTCTATGTTCCTTTCAATACGTCTCCTTCCTCTTACAACGTAGATCACAATCTATCCACGCCTCCCCAGCTGCATAGCTTTGGTTCATGTCATAAATTTGCCACATGAGGTCTTCCCAGCATTCTAGGGGCATTACCTCATTTTCTCTTGACATGATCATGATACCAATCGAGCAGGAGGCTCATGTGGTATCCTGACAGGAGTGAAGCATAACTCTCTTGTCATATGATCCACCTATCGCTTTCAGTCACACATTTCTTCGATGACATCTTTAGTATTGATTTCATCGTCATGTCTTTGTTAGTATGTCGTAGCCTACTATGAGCCTCTCCATCACCCTCGAAAAGCATCATAAAATATTTGGCCCATCAGGCTGCTCCCTTTCCACACATCCAGCCCTCTCACCTCAGAATCGGAAAGCTGGAGGAAGGCATGAACTTGGAGAAAAGTCAAAGATATGTGAAAGAGATATGCTTCATTCTTTAAATAAGAAACATTAGCAACCATGTGAAAAAATGTTCAAATACTTTAATAAAAAAAGAATTCAAATTAAAACGATTCTGACACCTTACAGGCATTCAATTAGCAAAGATGGTCAAAAACAATAAAACCTGGTGCTGAGGGTTGGGGGGCTCATGGAAAAATAGGCATAATATTAGATCGCTGGTAGAGCTGTGAACGGGTGCCAACTTTTTTTTTTTGGCTAGGAAGTGACTTGCCCAGGGTCACACAGCTAGTAAGTGTTATGTGCCTGAGACCGGATTCCTTTTCAGGAAAGCATTGTGGTGTACAAGATGAGCTAGAAAACCATTCATATCTTCACCCAGTGATCCCACTACTAAAACTAGACCCTAAGTAAGAATGTTATTGGCCAAGAGAAAGAAAAAATTAACTTCTTTACAAAAATATTCCTGGCAGCATTATTTGTAAAGAAAAAAAAACAGGAAATCAATCATGTGCCCGATACTTTGGGAATAGCTGAACAAATTTCAGTTTATGCGTGTCATATTAATTTCATGGTTTTTGAATTCAGAAATGTAGAGCTGGAAGGGAGCTTGGAGGTTATCTAGTTCAACTTGCTCATTTTACAGAAAAGGAAAATGAGGACTCAGAGAGAAGAAGTGGTAGATATGCTTTAGAACATATAGGAACAGAGCGACGATTTGATCTCAGATCCTCTGATTGCTGCTCTAGCACCCTTTCCCAGGTACCCATTGCCTCTGATATTGTGACATTAAGACATTACAAATGTGAAGCATGCACGTAAATCTGAAAAGACTTACATAAAATGAAGAAGAGTGAAGGTATACACAATATACATACACACTGATTGCAACAGTTTAACAAGATCTAGAAAATACAAAGGAAGGGGAAAAAACTTAGATTCAAACAGGACAATTGTGTCACTATGTTACTAAAGTTAATATAAACATTTGAAGATAAACCTTAAAGAATGCTCTTCTTCTTGCTTGAACATTTGGACATTGTTTTCATATTGTGTTTTTTGATCATTGCTTTATTTTCTAAAAAAGTTCTGATTCTTATCCGTAAGTTGGTATTGATTAAAAGAGGGGATCTGGTTCTGGTTACCGATGCCCCAGATGGGAAATGGTCTTTCCTTTTGGCAAAATTGCTGCATAGTTCACTAGAGTTAGTTAACTTAATGCTCATGGGTTATTCATTAATATGCAATTATTGAGTTTATGCATGTCATATTAATTTCATGGTTCGAGTTCAGAAATATGCCCAGGTTTAAATTCTGGGATGGCAAACCACATTTTACAAAGGATACTGTTTTCAGCCCATTCAGTTGCTCCAGAAATGCCCCAATCATGCACCTCAAGGGCTCCTTTCTTATGGGCACAGCAATCCTGCAGGGATTGTTCAAGGTTTGCAATGCCTCGGTGATAAATTGTCTCTTAATGATTGAGCATTAAGTACCATAGATAGTTCACAGATGAGGCAAAATAATCATAAAAATTTTGGATGCTATAACCTCTTAGGAAAATATCTAGTGCTACCCTGGCAAGAAAATAATTTTAGAGAAAGATTACATTTAACTTTCATTCATTTGTTGGACTAAAGGGAATTTAGTTCTCAGATTCCATTAACAAACTGACTTTGAAAAAATTTTTTTTAATGTCTTTAAAACCCTTTGGGGTTTTAAGCCAATCAAATGAGTGATTTCATTGTTTTTTATTTTATTTTTGAATCCTAGGCATGTGTGGTGGAAAAAGGATCTTATTTTAGTACTGAGACAAATCACATGTAATAAACTGGGATACCTGAGACGCTTGTAGTTGGACAGCAAGTAATGAGTTTTTCAAAGCAAGTCTGTTGGATGCCAGGATTTAGCGCAAAAACAACTGGGTTGTTTTTTTTTTATTCTCCCCCATCCCCCCAACTTTTTTCGGTAAAGAATATGTGGCTCAAAGGTTTAGAATGAAGTTATGGAGAAAACATTTCAACACCCTGTCTCTAATCCATTCCAATAAGAAGGCTGCAAAAACACATATGAGGTCCAGAGGAAGCATTGCCAACCTTGACATTTGGGGCTCAAGGAGACAGGCCTCTACCTTGGAACCGCTACTGAATCTGACTTTCCAGTTTTTAAAATGTCGCTTTCTGTTGATCTTAGGAGCAAAGCATTTATCATACATGATGGACTGGGACTGGTACCTGTGGTTTCATTGGTAGAAGGACTTCCTTCTAGCAATAGAGGTTGGTTGGTACCTGTTCTGTAACTCCGAGTCTCAGAAAATTGCCTTAGGCACTAAGAAGTTAAGTGATAATAAAAATAATAGCTAGGATTTATATAATGACATAAATTATCTCACTGAATTCTCACAATAATCCTGTGAAGTAGGTGTTATTGTTATTTCCATTTTACAGATGAGGAAACTGAGTCTCTGTCAGGTTAAGTGACTTGTCCAGGGTCACACAGCTAATAAATGTCTGAGGCAGGATTCAACTCGGGTCTTCCTTACTCCAAGTCCAGCATTTTCTCTGCTATTTCACTGAGCTGCCTTCAAGTGACTTGCCTAAGTGGGTAAGAGGCAGCACTTGATCCCAGATCTTCACTCTGTGATAGCTTGCTATCTACTACTCTACTCTGCCACTTAGCTTTATCTTTATGACCACATATGATGTATCCTTTCCTGCCTCCCTCCACCAGCTAAATAAATAGATCTCAACATTTCTGCATCTCATTCACCAATCATGTCAAGATTCTTGAAAACGGCAACAGTGACAGTTTTCAATAAACATTTATTAAGCT